CCTTCTCATAAAATAACCTTTTGTTTATTCAGCCCCTTGAGGTAGGGCAGGTGAAGAAACAGATATTGGAGCCCTGGTGACGCAGTGGTTAGAATGCAATATTGCAGGCTAATTCTAGTGGAATTCAAACTTAACCGGCTCAGGATTGACTTAGCCATCCAAATTTCTGAGGTCTGTAAAATGAGGATCCAGATTGTTGGGAGAAATATGTAAATAATGCTGACATTGTAAACTGCCTAGAGAGGGCTGTAAAGCACTATGGAACATTAAGGGCTATTTCAATTGCTACTGAATTGCTGTTGTTACAAGGTATAGTAAGAACATCTTAAAAGTTTCCTTCTGCACTGTGTTATGCCAAAGACAGGATTATCTTAAGTTTCAATGGATGAGTTTCTCCATCTTCCTTCCCATAGCTAAGTGGATGTTTGCTTAATTATTCTTGCACTCTTTCTTCAAGGCTAGCATACTCCTCTACACTGGCTAGCACTTAAAATTACTTCCAGGTGATGTTCCTGTGTATTGTGAAACTCACCTCTGATTTTTAATTGCTGCAGATGGCTCTTGCCCATGTGTGAAAATTCAGGCATCTTATTTTGGATTTGATGCGTTTCTCTCATTGGGGCTGTGTAGTTCCTGCCTGCCAATTTCCAAAGATAAGTAGGTGGCTTAGGATGGCATAACATTACAACATAGAAAACCAACAGCCTAATCATAATAGCACGCAGGCCTAGAAATGTCACCTTTGGGGAGGCAAAACCTTCAAGCATCTCTGAATAGCTATCTGAAGAGCCCTGTTTTCGTAGTATTTCAAAAGTAAAATAGGAAATGGGTAATCCAAAAAATAGGAGTAGGTGGTTCCTTGGTTGTTCCATTGATATAAGATGCAGACATAATTATTAGGCACACTTTAAAAGTGTGAAGGTGCTCTAAAGAGAACTTAGCGGGGGAATCGCTGACTCAGTTCTGACAAATGCTTATTCTGTTATGGCTAAAAGCAAAGACATCATTTTTGCTAAGGTTTAGTGTGATTTAGTGCTACAGTATGACCAAAGGGCACAGATATTTGTCTGCAGCAAAAGGAGACATTTTACAGTTTACCACATGACTGTGATTAAGCTGTTTCAGTTAGTCAGAGCCAACAACAGAAGAGTTTGTTCTAAGTGATTTGATTTGTTAAAATTTTAGCCAGAGGTAGAGAAACATGATATAAACTCAAGAAGAGCTGTGCTGGATGAAACCAAAGGCCTAACTAGTCCATAAAGGAGAAATAAAGGCCTCCGTAAAGCAGGATATGAATGAAAATAAATCTTCCTGCTTTAGTTTCCTAGCAACCAGAATTGGGAATAGTGTGTAAGCTAATATGACTAGTAGGCATTGTTAGGCTTAAACTCTGAATTTATCTAATTCTATTTTAAGATTGTCTATGTTAATAACTATTACTGTTTTATATTGTTTACTATGAAAAAGATGTTCCTCTGTGCTAAATCAATAACTGTTTGGATACATCAGATATTTTTTGATTCTAGCGTTATGAACAAGAGAAACCTTTTTTAGATTCATTTATAACTTTGTAAGTATTAATTATCTGCTTTTGTTCACATTTTTGATGTTTTCCCCTGCTATATTAATACATAATTTGGGAAAGAGTGTAACTTTAAACAATGATTTATGAAATCATTTATGAAAAAGATGGTTCACATGTACTTTCTCACACATTACAGTGACTCACAAGGTGTGTATGTGTCATATATTCATAGAGGCTAGGCTCAACTCCACTGTGTGGTGGACTTTAGCCATTCATCTGTCATACTTACTTCTTTAGTGACTATATATGAAATAACATGGATTCCCAAAGTGAATTAAGTAGTACCAGATCTTAATCAGACAGTGTCTTGAGTCCTCTATCATACTCTACATTTGTGAATGGTAGGGAAATGTTTATGCTGTGTTTGGATGGATTGTGGAGTACCATAGTTCCCTCATTTCTACATAAAAGGGACAGTATACTGCTTAATATGCTTAAGGTAAGGTCTCTGAAACAATGACCCAATGGGGCACAGGTTGTCTAGTAGTATATACAAACCTGGAACAGGGAATATTAAGCAACTGTAGTAGTGTGTAGATTTTGAAATACAAGTGATTTTCATGATACTGTCAGGATTCCAAGTAACATACCCATAGGAAACAAAATTTGAGGCAGGCAATTTCCTCAAATAGGTTTAATGAATATATCATATTTGCCAGGCTGGTGAAAACTGACTCTGATTCTCCCCATGGTTTTCACCTAATTAAAAGTAAAAGTTTGTCACTTTCTCAAAACAATCAATTGCATGGTCCAATCAGGACGCTGTCCAATTGCTAGATGACTCCAGTCCCCTCCTTCCAAGCACCTGCAAGAATGTCCTGGGTTCCCAAGAGAAAGTATTTCATTTTGACTACAACACCCCAACTATCTCTATTCCCCCCTCCCTATCCCTTTTGTCCAGTGTCTCAGCCCTGAAGTCTCAAAATGGCCACAGTCAAGCCAGCTTCAGGGTTGACATAGGGCATTCTGTGGAAAACTGAACTTGCTGAATTAAACTATAATCCTGTTCATATTTTCCTACATTAATTTTCATTGTCCTCAATGGAACTATTTTTCTAAAGTATTTTTATTATACATTTTTCTTCATTTTACATCACAGTTTCAGCTTTGCAACGACAATATACTGGTTA